ATATCACAACAATTCATTCATTCCATAAATTTATAAATTAATAAAATTGCGATTGAGAGAGTGTTGATAACCACATAATTCTCGAGATGTGAAAATTCTTCCATGTGCTCCCGTGTCGATAAAGCATGCTCTTGACCCCGCAAAAAAAAAAAGCTGATTAATTCGAGAATTTATTCCACGGCTTTTTAAGTTATTCTGGAGAGATATGATTTTATGTGAGGAATTCACACAAACTCAAGAGAAGGTGGTCGAACTGTGCACTACCACACTATATTCCTCTTATCCTATTTATAACGTAGAGAGATAAAGTTTTTTTATCCTATTTATAAGTCACTTCATTAAATTTTTAGTATGAATATACTATTTTTATCTTTTATTTATTATAGTGTAGATAGTTATTCTTTTGAAAGGTTATATATTAAATGAGGGTAAAATTAGAAAATTGTTATATTTTAATAAAGAGTTAATGCAATTTAAAGTTTTCTTTAGCCTGTATAAAATATGTTAAAAATACCTTATAAATAGAACCAGATAAGTACTCTTTAAGCTGATTAGGAGAGATTCACAAGTCATACTTCTAATAATGGATATTGCACTATAAATATGGCTCCATTTGGCAGGCACAAATGAGAATACTTTTTTATTTCATCACATAAAATTCAAAATATATATAATATTTAATTATACTCCTATCATCATTATTTGATATTATCTGTCTTAATCATTTTTTAAATCTACATATGTATGTGTGGGAGACATTTTTGTATGCAAAATTATTTTTTCTATTTCATTTTTTATTTTAGGTGCCAAATACGAGTGTGTATGTGTATGATTCATGGTCTATGCGTCAGAGCTCTTGTTGTGCAATTGTTGCACTACGGTACATAGTGCTATTTTGTCACACACTACTCATATCTTAAATATAAGATCTTTTTTGTAATGTAAATTACACTACAAAAATGGTTTTATATTTAGAACCAGAGAAGTATATAATTACTACGTCTAGTCATAATAATAAAACCTCGTTTATGGATTATAAAAAAAGTCTTATAATTACGACCGAAAATAGTATTATTCTTTTTTATATGCAAACAGTAAGAGAAAATATGAATTAATGTAATGTTAACAAGATTAATATTGAAGATTACTAGAGTTTTATAACAGGTTTAATATGTTTAACTGTTTTATTGGCACGTGCCAATTATTTTTAAAAAATTAAATTTGGAACGTGAGAGTGATAGCAAAAGAATTTAATTCAGCTTGTTGGTTGGAAAGATAAAATTGACTAGGAGGTACTAAGCTAACTATTGTGTTACTACCTTGTTAGTTATATATATAAATATATATATATTTTCCCTCTTTTGGGAGGCAAATTTTTGACTGATTATGAGAAGAACCTCCCTCCTTTTTCATTTTTTTTTCTTGTCTGAATAATTCTTATGTGAGAAAAGAAAGTAGGTACAAAGAGTGAGACGAGATTAATTAAGAGAGTGGAGATAATTTTTTTATCCTTATTTATTGTGTCGTTTTCTGACCAAATTCTCCTAAACCTAACATAATTTTAATCCCTCTCCCTACTTTACAAAAATACAAATGTTACAGTATATTTGATATTATTTATTAATCTAAATTCAAACATATTAAATCCCCCAATTTAAATTATTTCAACATGTGATTCTTTTTTCATCTGCAAATTGAACTCTTTTTTTTCCCTCCTTGTTTTAAACTATTATGAATTCATCATTGTATCCATAGAATTTATCAAATAAGTCATACCTCATGTTTAATAAATAATTAAAAAATCCTTTAAGAAATTTAAATCACTCTGTATCACAAACATTTCTCTTTTTTTTGCTTATAAAAAAAACAAACATTTCTTTTTATTTTGATAAATTGTCTTTTTATAAAAAAAAAATGTGATATAGTAAAAGTTTTATGTTATACACAGAGACTTAGGCATTATGTCAACTGATTGGTTGATTAAGAAATGGAAAATAAGTCTTCAATACATAATCTCCAGATACAATAGGCAGTTATGAGAGCCAATCTTTGTCCAACTATTTTAGTTGACCTGAAGGCATAATAATGTTATTTATGTACGTTGAAATTTTGCTCCTCAAGATATTATATGCCTTTCTTTTCACCTCTTACTATTTTTAGCTTTAATAACTATTATTTCTTCTTAATTAAAAAAAATCTCAGGCTTCTTAATTTACTTGCAATTTGTTTCTTCTTAATTGTGCATCATGCCCTGATGATTAAATCTTACTCCCTCCGTTCCTTATTATAAGAGACATTTGATGCTTATGGTATGTTCCTATATATAAGAGACACTTAAAAGTTGTCTCTACTTTTTTGTGTTGATTTCCTATTTTACCCATATTTATTATCTCCAACTCACACTCTCTCTCCCTCCCACTTCTCTTTCTTTTAATATTTTAATTATTCTCTTTCATACTCTCTTTCCTTATTAATGAGGGCATTTTTGGAAAACAAATTATACTTAAAGCACATTAATTGTTCTCAACTAATTTTAACTAATTTTTTGATCAACGTATTTCGGTTATCTGTCTCTTATAATAAGGAACGGAAGGAGTATTAATCTTTAATTAATACGTGCGAAGGGTTCAAACTTTCAAGCCCTTTCTAATAAAAAAAATCGTCTTGAAACATGTCTTTAATTAAAAAAATTTCAAAATCAACCATTCAATTTTTTAAAAATATTTATTTTTCTGGACAAAAATAAAGAAATAATTATTTACGGTATTTTAATTAGATTTTAAATGCATGATCCTTTGTGTGGGTACCTATATATAAAGTATTAGTAATAGTAATTTATACACGAACACGCAAATATGTCTCGTAAAAGAAGAAAGGAATTTGGCCATTAAAAAAATGGGGCCCATCGCTATCATGCGCCTTGGGTCACTATCCCCATCTTCTTTTGCATAATTCGAACCAAAGCCATGCTTAATTTTCCCATTTTATTCCCACTCTCAATTGAATTACTCGCCGATTTTTTATTCCATGTGGCCATCGGAGATTCTCCTCCTTAATCCTTCCGATTCCACGCGCCACCCTTGTTGATCCTACCGCCGGTGACCTTGCTCCGTGATCTCTTCAACACTACTCGGTACTGCCAATTCGGTTCTTCCTTGATCTAGTTTCTCTGCCCCTTTGCCGAGATAGTGAAGGAAACCGATGCTGGAGTGTCCTTCTTTACTGATTTAATTTGATTGAGTATGGAAAGTCAGTTGAGTAAGCCACATGAAAAAAAAGTAGTCAAACTCTAAGTCGTCGTCAGGTCTAAAATCAGCTCATTCAGGGTTTCATTTGTTGGTGCTTTCGTTCATTTTATTTTGCATTAGAAAGTGCTGCAACTCTCCGGCGATTGCTGTTCTTGGTTGTCGCTGGATTTTGCTATTTCAGTAAATGGGGAGGAACGCTGTGTGAGGAACTGCATGTTAACATTTGATTTAGGCCTGGCTGCGGCGAAGTAGAGATCTTTTTCTTCTGCCTTCATTTAAAGCGATCCCACTGTGATATAGTTGATAGATTCGTTTGTCGGTAAATTAACAGGGATTCATCTTTTGCTCCATTGAATGAATAGGAGCTGATTGAGAAATTTTGTTTTCTTTTCTTATTTTTCGTGAGGATACTGTTGCTTAACTTTTATTTATTCTTTTTTTGTTAAATTTTATTGTCAACTTATGTTGTGAATTCCATATCGAAATGTTTAGAAAATCTCCATGAATTGAAGTTTGTCAGGAGTATTGATTCGCCAAGTTGTTATTTAGTTTTTTCAAATCAAGAATTTGTTTGCGAAGTTTGGTTTTGGCACATAAAAAATGTGTTATGACTATTTTGCAGAATTCTGTGCTTTTTTGCGTAGAAAGAAAAAATCACTTCCTTTCTGAGCTCATTACCATGATCTTTTAAGCGACACTTTTAACACGTTTTTGGAAATTAAAGATTTGGATGCCGCCTTTAAATGGCTTCAGATTGGGTGTCGGTCTTGTTTTATGGTCTCCTAAATCTGTATCTATACTGTGAGATATGCCTTCACTGTGAGATGTGCATTTTTTCCCCCCTACTAAACTCATTCTATCCTTATACAATACTTTCTTTTTGCTTGAAAGGCTTCAACTCTGGTTTGTTCAAGCAGACAGAGCCACATATAGAAATCTCAAATCTCATGCTGCTTTACTGAACTGCCGATGAGCAGAACTGATGTTATTGGCAGTAGAAGGAGGAGGATTCTTCTCTTCTTCAGCTTCAGGATATAGTAAGGGCCTGACCCTTCTTCTCTTGGGTCAGAGGAGTGAGGATAAACCCATGAGAGTTTCCCCGTGGAACCAGTACCAGTTGGTATACCAAGAATCAGACCCCGAGCTCCAGCTGGCTTCAACAAAGAATCGCATTTCCCGCGGTTGCGCTTCCTTTGCTTGCTTTGGTCGCGCTTCCGCAGGGCTTGAAACACCATCTCCTCTTAAAGTGGGCCCTGCCCAACAGCATGATGTCTCACCAGGGTCCTTGGTTTCTGACAAGGAGCAATCTGTTCATCTTGATAATAGTAATGCTACAAGAAAAATAGCACTTAAAAGTAGCCTAAAAAGGCCACAAGATCATAAGCCAACTCCCATTGAAGCTGCTAATGAACGTGAAGAATCAGGCGGTGAGCGGAGTGATTTTTCTGTTCAAAGAGAGCGCAGGAAAGTGCAGTGGACAGATGCTTGTGGCAATGAGCTCACTGAGATACGAGAGTTTGAACCAAGGTATCGGAGTATTTTGTTTTCCGTAAATGTTTTAGCCAAGAATATTTATATTAATAAATTATCTGTACCAAGTAAGATTTGCTAGTTTACGCTATTTCTAACTTTTCTTTCTTTGTTTAGTCATAAAATGTCGAAAGAAGCATGCTAAAGTTGGCTATTTGAATTACGGTAATTTGACAAATTAATTAAAGGCATGTATTGGATAGTGAAGAAAATATGTATTATGTGTCTAAACCCCTATATTTCATGATCCTGCCTCCTCCTCTGCTTGGATGCGACTATAAGAATGTTGATTTGTGGGTTTGTACTTTTACTGTTCTCCATTTGATTTATTATAGCTTTTAATGATGCTTCCGATGCCACATCTGTTGTTTCTCTCTTAAGCCTGTCTTCTTATTTTTGGTTTCTCCCACTAACGGATAATCTTACTCTTTGCTTGTCAGTGATTACTATTGAATCTAATGATCTTATTGATGCTTGAAATTCTTTATATCTTTGCTTTATGCTCGTGCTTGAACCACCAGAATTTGGATTGAACCATATCATATTGATTCTGAAATTTTGCAATGCCAGTAGCCTTGATAAAGTTCTCGAATCAAGCAATGGACAGAAAGCAAAAGAGAAAAGGGGGGAGATAACTGGTGACGGTAGTAATTGTTCATTTGTAATTTAGGTAGGGAGATCAATTAATATGAGGCGGGCATGATAATTGATCCAACTTCTCTCGTTTGGGCATATTGCTGTTATGATAGGCACTCAAGCTGGGTGGGGAATCTCTAAAAGTTTGATGTTTACACATGAGGACCGCCCTGCTTAAGTAACTTGTCACGCAGTTCATGCTATTCAATGTCAGACTTTAGCATCCCATACCATCCTGGTTCTTATCAAGTTAATAACTAAGGAAAAAAATATCAAAAGAGAAGATGATCCCTCGCTCTTGGGTGGAAGGATTTTAGCTTTGAATGACCGTGGTTTTTGTTCTCAAGTCTTATTTTTGCAATCTCTATTGGATTGGGACATCATTTCATTGATTCTCTCTTGAATATGTTAGGCCTCTTCCTAGTCAAGTGGTCTTAAATGTGGATCGTTTTGGTCAATGGTTAACATTATAGATTTGTTATAGGCTGAGAGTTTAACAAAGCTCTTTTCTTTCATAGTTATCATAAGTTATTCCTTTATATGGGTTCTGTTATTCTGTTATTCGGTTCTTACCTTCCATGTGCTATATTCGTATGGTCCTGTCAAATTAAGGTCCCATAAACACAATCTGTTCTATTGTAGAAGATATATGGTGCTTTTCTATAAGATGCGAACTATCTTAGGATTAATAAAAGTTTAATCACGCAATTTGTGGAATCTGAGTATAAGCTATTCGTTGTTGCATTGTTTATCTACTCGTATATTTTTCCTTTTGGTCATGGCATGGGGCAGAGCAGAAAGCTCTGATTCTTAGTTGGTAGGTTTGGAACTTGAAAGGCTTTGATTTTGTCTTGCAAATTTGGAGTAATTTCTGCGTAGCAAGTTTAGAGATTCTGGAAGGTTTAAGGAAGGAATGTTTAATAGGAAAAGCCTGCCTTGAAGTTTTATATGTCTTTAGTTTGAGATAACTAATGGAATATTTTAGGATAAAATGCTGCTTTTGGTGCATTTAAGGGGCATGATGTTTGTTTTCTTTTTCTTTCCTGGGATTTTTAGATAATTGCTAGTGCTACTGCAACGAGGTTTTTCCGTGATATTACTGGGGAAGGCTTCTTTCTATTGTTGTGGTTTCACCTTGTTGTTTGGTTTTCATTTCTGGCTTTTATAAAGGACGCCTCATCCTTTGCCCTTGTACTCTTATTTCTTTATTTTTCTACATAAAAATAGTGGCTTCATCATGTCCTACTCTTGTTGGATATTTTGGGCAAGTTCTATGTCTTCATACATGTGGATATGCTTGGGCACCACATCTTTAGGTTTTTGGTTGATTCAAAACCCCGTACATTCTTTGGCCAAAAAAAAAAAAGAAAAGAAACCTGTACCTTCTAAATTTTTCAGCCCCTTTGTTATTTGTTACTTGAATGATCTTTGGGAAGCTTCTATATTGATGTGAATTATAATTAGTTGGATTCTTGGTTTATTAACTCGAAATCTTCTTATGTGCAAAAGGATTTGGGCAGCTTTGCCGCATGCTTCATATTTTTTTTCCACCCACTTGCTATTTCGTTTTGATCTGTACGGTGCCTTTCTCATGTGATTTCGGTAAAAGTCAAACGAGGTGTATGTAATATATTTTTCTAAATTTTTCCAATAACCTATGTGTAGTTGATTACTGAACTAGAAATTGTCATTCATCTGCAGTGAAGTGGATGGATCAGATGATGAATTTGACAATGGGAATGACAGAACTTGTTCGTGTGCCATTATGTAAAATTGAATTTCCACCATAAGACGAGTGGAACTCATTTGCGTGGCGTCCAGGGAATCACTGCTTCTAATAGCATCACTCAGCTTGTAGAGAATGAAGCCACAATTTTACAGGACATCTGAGACGGACATGGTAGAGAGTCCAATAACATGATCTGCCTGAGTGATCGTCTGTGTCGCAGCCTTCAATTTTGTTCCTCTGCTTCTCACCGTCATCATCATCAATCAATTTATTGTATATTTCTTGTGTGATTACATTATCTTTCGATTCATCACATTTATGCCATTTCATGTTCTCATTGTTATATGGATCGACGAAGTTTTAGTCCTATCACCTATGTTCTCATCTTCATCTAGAAGAAAAATTATACAAGCATGAGATTCCATACAAAGTATTTGATAGCAGCTTGGTGATGCTGATAAACAAAGGGGCTTCTGAGTTATGTCCTCTGCTTGAAACCAGGGCTGTGAACGGAAGGGTTGGAAACTGAGAATTATTCCGCTCGTTGCACTGAGTTTAGGGTTCATTTGGTGTCACTGAGTTGCCCGAGTCGTGCGAGTGAAAATCATTTGTGGCAGTGTTCTCTTGGTGGTGTGTTTGATGAAAGGGGGCACCACTCCTCCATCAGGAAAACATGTGTCATTTATCAGACGCTTATGGTCGGGCTCTGGATCCTTAGCTTTTCCGACGCGCCTGTTTATAAAATTATATAAAAAATTTACAATAAATATATACTGTTCTTAATATAAAACCTTGTTTGATTTTTATTTTAGTTCTAAACATAAAATCTCAAACAATTTTATCTCTTATATTTATTTTTTTTTTTTCAAGATAGTCCTTCTAATAATAATAATTCTAACTAATACACTTGATTAATAAAAATATTTTAAAAAAGACAATACCTATTTATTATAAATAATTAATTTAATTTTTTTTCTTAATCTCTTTAAATTAGTCAACTAACTCTTATAGAGGATAATATTTTTTCGGACTATGATATATAAGATGGTTTAATCAAAGTAAAAGCGCAAGATTTTGTGGCCCCTTTCCCAGGTATACCGGCAAGTTCTTGTCCATGTGTTTGAAATTGAGTCCAGTGCAATAAGATATTAAATTTAGGTAAAAAAATTTTTATATAGCGTAAGCTGTAACTATTTTTTTTAAAAAAAATGTAACACATGTGAATGTTTTGATTAAAAAAATTAAAAAAAATCAAACTAAACGCACTAATCTCAAGTTATATTACATATGAGCTAAACGACATTGTTGGGTAAGGAAAAAAAATGGTAAACGACATTCATAATTTAGTCGCGGCAAATGGAGGTGGCACCTTCGGCCAGTAAACTAGAGCCACTTTTCCAGCGGAAACTTGGCCATGCCTTGTCCACACAACCTTTCTCTGATGATGATAAGCCCCTTCACTTCCAAATCCACAAATCCAAACAAAACCCGGTTCAAGAGGATTCTCAAAGCATCAAACTATGGGGTTTAAATATTAAAAAAAAAAAAAACCAGAAAATCTGTGGGAAATTGGGTAGCACCACCGGCGAAGAAAATGTCAGTGGCATCTTCAATCCCATGCATCAAAATCCCATCTTCTTCTTCCTCAACTTCCTCTTCATCTTCTTCTGCATCATCCTATTCCCTTCGATTTTCTACTTCTTCCAAGTATTATAGTTTCGCCATCAGGAATTCTCAGACCGAAGGGCCTCTGAGAAGACCAGGGTCTCCTCCTTTGAGGGAACCCCTGAAACCCAACCCTCCATCTCCGCCGTCGCCGTCCCCGTCCCCGTCCCTGTCACCTGTGGCGCCCGCTCCTCCTCAGCAGAATGTGGCTGCTGTTGTTGCGGACGATAAGAATGTTGTTACATTAGAGTTTCAGAGGCAAAAGGCGAAGGAGCTTCAGGACTACTTCAAGCAGAAGAAGCTGGAAGAAGCAGATCAGGGCCCTGCTTTTGGATTCGTGGGGAAAAATGAGATCAACAATGGAAGGTAAAGCTTTGATTTTTTTTTTTGGAGACAATGAATTTCGAGCTTTTCTTTATGTTGGTACAACTGCTTGAATGATGAGCTGTTCGTCAGAATATGGATGGATTTAAAGCGGAACGAATTTCTATAGTGGCTGAGGAGGTTTTATGGGATACTTGCTTAAATATTCGTCGCCTTATTTTCTTTTCTCTCCGATAAGAATTTGCTTGGTTGATATATGTCCCAAGCAGTAGCAGCCTTGGACTTGATTAGCTGAATTTCTAGTCTAAGATTAGGAGCAGGAAATGTAGATGACCATGAATATGACTCAGAAGCTAAATCTTTGTGAAACTTTCTGGTGTTCTAGTCACGGTCATGCCTGGTTTATAGCGAGGTCTGTTTTATTCCCGCTTGCCATTCCTTTCCTACATTGTTATTGATTGGATATGTTTTATAGATGTACGATTATTTTATGCTTTTCATTCCTTTTATTCTTGTTTTATTGTGATAAACTTTGATTCTGTAAAATTTATTACGAGACTATCAACTTTTTCGCTTCATTTTCTTCCTCTAAAACAATTGTAGAAGTCACTGAAAGCTATTCTCCAAGACTATTTTAAAGTTTTCTAGCCTACTTTTAGAATTTCAGTTTGTCACCACTTTGTAACATTGGTTAAATCCAATTTAGTGGAATTTCAATTGGACATCAGATACAAAAATATAGATAGGAAACGTTAGAACAAATTATAGCAGCCAAATGGAGGGTAACCGTGTAGAAAACTGAATCTAACTATTAAGCTTTTTGCTTTTGGGTGGCTGTCTAAAGGGGCAGATGAGCTACTGTATTCTTTTAGCATTTTCAAGTTTTCTCCTCGTGCAGTAGGGAAACACGTTGTAAGCTTTGCTTCCTTGCAAAGTTGGGCTAACTTGTTTGATTCTTCCCGGGCTAGCATTGCTCCAACTCTTAAGTGTTAATGACGTTATCAAACTTCCTCTCACCTCAACTTTTCAAGAGAGGGAGAGTGAGATGACTTGGTTTACTCTCAAAGGGACTGATTCGCTGACCACTTTTAAGCACTTCATAGAACGACAATGGGAATTTCACTACAATTAGATTTTATGACTAAGGTCAGTCTTAAGCTTGGCACGTGCTTACACTAATCTTACATGTGTTTCTTGTCAAAGTGTGATTTTCAAAGGACATCTACGGAAATCTTATATTTATTGCCTGGGAGATGGACTTGTTGAGTATTGTCAAGCGGAAGCGCGCCAATTTCTTTATCTGCTTGACCACACTTAGTGGAGGCATCTGCACTTAGTTTTTGCCTCTTTCTGGATGAAGCATCCATTGCTAATTATGGCAAACTTAAGAAATGACACTCATTATCAATTATAACTAGCTTAGAGGAAGTTCCTGCTTATGGTATGATTCGCATGATGCTTTTCTCCTTGACCAGTGGAAGCGTCTCTTCTTGATCAGCGGGGACACGTTCTCCTGGTCAATGGAGGCACCTCCTCTTAATTAGTCTAGACACCTCAATAATGAGCTGGAAGCTTTGCTTCTTATAAGAGAGCTGTCTTTCTTCAATAATTAATTTATAATTAAATTGTTGTGGCTTTTTATTTGATTAAATAGATATAAACTAATCAATACAAAACTAGAATTTTATATGCGTACGTCCTTATCCTTAAAGCTTTCTTCAACCACAGTGAGGAAATACTCTTCAAGGTAGACCTTACCTAATTCATGAATAAATGATAGGCTGACTTAATATTCATTCGATGGTCATTGCAGTTAGTGAAAATGATAGGCTGACTTAATTTTATATGCGTACGTCCTTATCCTTAAAGCTTTCTTCAACCACAGTGAGGAAATACTCTTCAAGGTAGACCTTACCTAATTCATGAATAAATGATAGGCTGACTTAATATTCATTCGATGGTCATTGCAGTTAGTGAAAATGAACATTGAGTGAAGTAATCTGAAAATAGCGTCGACATGTGGGAAAATATGGGTGTAGGATCAAGTGAACAGTTAAGATTGATTTGACTGCATCATCCACATTCAGCCATATTGATTTTTGTCGATCCAAATCCTAAGGTCTCGTGGTGTTGTCACAAGCGTGGAGGGTTCAATACTGTTTGGACACTAACGGAGACCAAGCTGGTAACAATGATGTATGGTCTCACTTTTAAGTGGGTTGGTTTTCTTATTTTAATAATGAGCTTTTTGAGGGAGAGCCCTTTGCCTACTTAGATGCTCGTGAGACACGGGCATGGCTTCCTTTTTAATTTTGAAGTGGCCTTGCTCCATAGGATGCAATTGTTTAGACAGTCATTAGATGGTCGCAACTGGTTAGTTGTATGCATCGTTCTGGCGTGCACACGCAAAACTGAAGAAACATCTCCCACCCTCCTTGTGCTTAATATCATCTACTCTTTTGATACGATGCTTCTTATACATTCATGTGTTTCTGTTGGGTATCCTTTCATCCTTTGGTATTCATGTGACTTGTTTAATTTGGCCTGTGTATTTGGAATTTGGTTGATGCAGATGGGCCATGTTCGGTTTTGCCGTTGGGATGCTAACAGAGTATGCAACAGGTTCGGACTTTGTTGATCAAGTAAAGATCCTTCTTTCGAATTTTGGGATCGTAGATTTGGAATGAACAATTTTAATGTTTAATGTTGTTGATAGTTTCGACCTTTATTCGTAATATATTTCTGTGGTTTGTTACTCCCATTTATAGCAAGCAACCAAGTTGCCTGGAATGATAACATTGAGGATTTCCTTCTTTCATTTTGCTCTACTCTTACCCGTATAGACAGAGATGTATACGGCATTTGGTGAGCAGAGCAGATATTCTCTGTTCATGCATTCGACCAAATTATGACACAAAAAAATGTGACTGTGTATAAAGTCTACCTTCCATAATTATATTTATTTATTCTTCAAACCTTTTCCCAAGACAGAACTATAGAGGTTTAGATCTGGTCTGTCGATATTTTGCAGTTTTTATCCAAGATATAAACTGATATGTTAATGAAGAATACGAACTCTTGTTTGCCATGCCCGAAAGATGTTTTCTTATTATAAATGTTTTGAACTAGTTGAAAAATTGAAGGGAAAATCGCAAAAAAAAAAAAAAAACCATGGAAAAGATTACACACAGGGACTGGTTCACAAAAATTGTTGTCAAAACTTATATTATTATTGTTAAAATCCATATTAATATTGTTATGGGTTTTAATTTGTAATTTTTTTAACTTCATGGTCTTGTTTTGTGATTTTCCCAAAATTATAAGGCTTTTTAATTAAAAAAAACATAATATTTAATTTGTTAATAAACGTGATAATATTACTTAAACAATGGAGCCATGACAAGTTAAAATATGTAACTTGCCAAACAAGTTTTATTAGGCTAGTTAATATACTACTATCTTAATATAAGAGTTAGAAATTTAATTTAGTCCTAAATATAAGATTTTAATTTATTTTGTTTTATATTTATTCATATATATATTTTTTAAAATAACCTCTATGATAATTGCATATGTTAAGGTTTACATCAAAGAATAGTTCTAATGAACATAATTAATAAGAGTATTTTAGAAAAGATAATATATATTTATTATAAATAATTAATTTAAGTAATTTTTTAAATATTTATAAATTAGTTCTCTAATTATTATATTAAGAATTGAAGATAGTCTTATTTATAGCGAAAACGAGTCCTATGTAAACTTGAAATAAGTCATATTGTTAATATTATCTTCAACCCTTAATATAAGACCTCGTTTAATTTTTATTTTGATCCTAAATATAAGACCCTAGTCTACTTTGTCTCTCATATTTATTCATTTTTTTAAAGTAATTCTTCTAATAATGGTAGTTTTAACCAATACACTTGATTAACAAGAATATTTTAGGAAAGACAACACATATTTATTATAAATAACTAATTTAACTTATTTTTAATCTATTTAAATTATTCAACCATAATTAGGATAAGAGGTAGTAATTTTTTTACCTGACTACTATTGATAAAATATTATTCGTGTTACCATATTCGGAATTGAGAAACAACACGCATCATCTCAATTTTTGGGTGAAAAAAGGCATCTGATTATAACGATAATTTAAAAGCCAGAAGCCTTTGTCAGAGACGATCACGTGTGCTCCACGTGTCGATACCGTACGGAAAGCCGACATTGTTTACTTTCTGTTTACTCTGGCTCTGTCTGTTCATGTTCAATTGTCCGTTTGTTTTCCCGCCCCGAAAGTTCGCGCCTTTCAATTTCCCAAAAACTGTACACACTCACGTTTTCAACGGAGCAATCGAAGAAAAGAAGCGCTCACCAAAATTCGGGAAAAAGGTCACACAGTACTTGTTTACTCACAGCAAGATTCCAAAAGTGCCGGCCATGAGCGGCCTCCAGAATCCGACACATTCTTCTCCTATCCTTTTCGTTCTCTCACATCCCAGCAATAGCCCTTCAGCTTCTTGGCCGTCTGCTTCCGTTTCTTCATCACTGTTACTCGGGCATGTCACTTCCTGTACACATCGTTACAAATGGGATCATACTGATGCTGAGATCGGCACCCTAGAGAGTTATGGGCTGCGTTCAGGCTAAGCCATCGGGGGGTTCGGAAGCTAAGGGCCTAGAGAGGCTGAAACTAGAGAATGGGTATGTTGGAAATGGGGATTTCGCTGCTCATCGACGATCGATGGGCCAGATATATGGCGAATGTGAAGATATTGGTAGGGTGCACCAGCGCGAAATCAGAAAGCATCGGCTTGGGTCTGGTATTGGGAACGAAGAAAGGGAAGGTAGCAGCAACCGCTGGATGGGAGAGGGGAAGAGAAATGCTGTGCATGATGGTGAGAAAATACCAAGGAAATCTTTTGACGATGAGATGGTTGACGGGTGGCCCAGATGGTTAGTTGATAATGTTCCTCGAGAAGTTTTGGCTGGCTTGGTTCCCCGGAGTGCTGAGTCATACGTAATGCTTGACAAGGTCTTTGTTTGGGTTTTGTCATGTTCCGGATTAGATAAAGCTGAATGATGAAGGGTTATGCAAAATGATGTAGCATTCTTTACACATCCAACGTTATTGCTCCTACATCTTAACTAAGTACTAGCCTATTACTATGCCGCATCATTTTGGGATTCTTTGGAGCATTCTTTCAAATGTGGCGTCATTTTGGGTACTAGTTAGATGTTTGGCTGCTTGAATCATTAAGAGTCTTGAAGTCATCAATGTTTGAGTTTGGATCAAAAATTTGATTGAAGAGGATTTCTATTTATTAATTACCTGATTGAGTGAGATATAAACTGAAAACAATTAATGTGATTAAAAAGTTCGAGCATGGGTTGTGATTTGTAGGTTCATAGGTTTTTCATCGCTGACGATGGTAGAAAGCACGTTAATTGACTGGGCCCATGTGTAAAATTTTCTGTTTTTCAGGTAGGACAAGGAACCTACAGCAATGTTTATAAAGCACGAGATCGGGCCACGAGGGAACTTGTGGCCCTTAAGAAGGTTCGCTTTGATAAATCCCAGCCGGAGAGCATTAAATTTATGGCAAGGGAAATTGCGATACTACAGATATTGGATCATCCTAATGTCATAAAACTTAAAGGATTGGCTACATCAAGAATGCAATATAGTATTTATCTTGTTTTTGATTTCATGCAATCAGACTTGGCTAGAATAATATCTCGTCCTGAAGAACGACTCACTGAACCACAGGTTAATTAAAATTTTCTCATTGGCGCCTTTGACAATTTTAGCATTTCCCATAATTTACCATAATAATCTGGAAAAATTGATGTAGGTCAAGTGCTATATGCATCAATTGCTTTCAGGTCTGCAGCATTGCCACGACAGGGGCATCTTGCACCGAGATATCAAGGGGTCAAATCTCTTGATTGATAAAAATGGAATGCTCAAGATTGCTGATTTTGGGCTTGCCAATTTTTATAACCTAAACCATAACCAGTATCTCACCAACCGGGTTGTGACGCTTTGGTACAGAGCTCCTGAGCTATTGTTAGGTGCCACGAATTATGGAGTTGGTATTGATTTGTGGAGTGCTGGATGCCTCTTGGCAGAAATGTTTATGGGAATTCCAATCATGCCAGGAAGAACAGAGGTGATAATGCCCATATGATCTGCCAAAATCCTTTTTAATTAAATTCCATCTTTAGCTTTTGGTCTATTTTTGTGTCTATGTTGTGTTGTCTGGTCATCTTCTATTATTTCGTTCTGCAAGTCATTTAAGTTTCTCTGCTTTCAGGTTGAGCAACTTCATAGAATTTTCAGGCTATGTGGCACGCCATCAGAGGAGTACTGGAAAAAATTGAATCTTCCCACAACATTTAGACCTCCGAAGACTTACAGACCCAGCCTAGCAGAATCTTTTAGGGATCTCCCTCCATCTTCTGTGGGCCTTGTGTGTACTCTGCTCACATTGGATCCTGCATACCGTGGCACTGCATCTAAAGCTCTTCAAAATCAGGTGAGTCAATCCGGGCGAGAAATCCTGATAAGTAGTTGTGATCTCCGCACCTAAAAATGCGTGCTTCGTATTTCTTTACTGAAAGATTAGATGTTCAGTTGAATTGCGCATTGAATGAATTACTCTCTCCTCTACTGAGGGATGCTCAAAACCCAGTTCTTCCCCTGTTTTGAAAATATGCACCCGTTTCCCTTGTTGCACTGACATTTTCTCTGACAAATGATGAGAGCTTATTTTGACTGAAATACCCTGATTTTAAAAATAGATGGGAGGTTTGTGTGATTTTTCATGATTCAAGGTATTTTTTTTAATTTACTCTTAATTAAGATTGATCTTGATTGAAGAAACTTTTATCTTAAGTACTGCCTCACAACTAATATCAAATTATTACAACTGCACTGAATTTCATCTATCGAAATCCCAATGAAAAAGTAGGATATAATTGAATGTGTAACTTATTCGGATTTCCAACATAGATGTACCTTCTGCCTGCAGTTTTTCTTTACAAGCCCATTGGCACGTGATCTCTCTGGTCTGCCTGTAAGCTACACGGAACATGATGGGCAAAATCTTACCAATGAAGAGATCGAGTAAGTCGTTTTTTGGTACTCAGTGTTCTGAGGTTAGTTTCAGTCAACTTATAGATGCACAAACTCGCTACATGTAGAAGGCAGTACCCTGTATTGTTTTTGTACCTAACAAGTGAGGTTAAGCCGACTCTGGTATGCGTTTATAACATGAGACTTCTTTTCTTAAATAATACTACCTTCTGTCCTTAATATAAGATCTTATTTGACTTTTATTTTGATCCTAAATATAAGACCCCGATCCATTTTGTCTCTCATATTTATACATTTTTTTTCAAAGTAGCCCTTCTAACAATGATAGTCCTGATCAATACACTTGACTAATAAGGATATTTTAGAAAAAACAATACCTATTTAGGACAAATAACTAACTCAACTTACTTTCTTAATTTCCTCAAATTAATCAATTGGCTTTTATAATTAGGACTGGAGATAGTATATGTAGGCATGAGCAGTTAGCAAGATAAGGCTTGTTGTAATACTTGCAGGAATGTGAATGCTAAATTAAGACGATCTCATACCCGTCATGAGAGGCGAAGGAAGAATGTGGCATCCGGCTGGCCAACAGAGCATACTGTATCTTCTAAAGAGGTGAAAATCCTCCAAGCCTTCTGCTCTGTTCATAGTATATGTATTTATTTATGTATTCCTGTTGTTGTTCTACGCATGTCTCCTTGTTGTAGAACTAAAAGTAAAATTTTGAAGATTCAAGAATTTTCTGGGAGCAACTCAATAATCTGATTTATGAAGTTCAATAAGAGGAAACATGCATGACTAGGCAGTCCATTTGTAAGCTTGTAGGCTGCAACTAGTTAAACCCTAAACTCTAAACACCCAAAATACAGCTCAGCCGGCCAACCTCAAACAAAATGCTGATGATAAACCTCAACTAAGAATTAAACTAAAAAAGCAACTGCGTTACTCATGCTAATGACATGCAAACCACTGATATGATTGACGGTGTTATATTAAAATTTAAGTTCTGACCTTGAGAAGGACCATTTAATTAAGTTGTCTCATTTAGCTCCCCGACAGTTGTGGGCGTTGATATTTGCCCTGTTAGTGTTGACTTGCTCCACATCAATCCAGAGGAAGCATCAGACAGATTGAATATTTATGAGGTCTCCATTGTGTCCACGATACAGGAGACCACAACCTGTAGAAGAGAGCTGGTGTTTTTTCTGCACACGTCCTTTTAAATAATTATACCAAAGATGTTTAACCATATCATGAGCTTCAATTTTTACCGGGATATACTAGATAATTCGGTGGATTTTTTTTTTTTTGGTCAATTCGGTTGATTTTTCTGCATAATATTATGATTACTGCCTATTTGATGCTTGATTCATTGTTAGGAAGCAAAAAATATGGGGAAGAAAAATTGACTAATGCGAAAGTCACAATCTATCAATAAGGGTAGTGCCAATATCGTGTATAAAACATAAATTTCCTGATTGATAATGTGATGCCAAACCTAAAGGAAAGAAACTAAGAACACGGTTGATTAGCTCAAATATCAGATATACTGATATCAATTGGAAAAGAGAAGATCATAACTGAGTAGACTTATGTTAAGGAGCTTGTATTTCCTTCAAAACAAGAAAAGAGAACCTGATGGCATTCTAAACGGTGTTCTTCACATGTTATACCAGGAACTGAGCAAGGAAGTTGAGGCATTTGTTCCTAATGAAGAACAGGGCAGAATCCCCCCAAGCAGTAGGACATCATCTGTTTCTGACACTGCTGAGTCAAAGGATCATCCATCTCCTCTCATTCTTTCTCCAAATTTGGCTTTTGGTGATCAAAAGTTGTCCCACAGAATCCATCGCCATGTTAATGTCAAGAACCTTCCTCCATTACCCAAGTCTAAACAACATGCGTCCAACAAACAAGACAACAACTACGGACCACACCGGATCCTCAGGTCAGCTTCCTCCAGAGAATTTAGAAACCCAAAAAAGGGTGTCTTTGGAATTCATTGATAGGTCTCAACAGAACGGGTGGCTTTTTCCCTTCTTTTGGCCATGAACAGGTGGCATTTAAACCAATATTTTTTTAAAATGTCAACTTTTTTTAATTTTTATTTTCATTCTTTTCATTAATTGTGACTTTATGAAGAATGAAGATGATCTCGTGTTGTGTCAACTTCTTTGGTCAAGGTCATTCTGAAGCAGCCTTACCCTACCCATCAGGGAGCCGTGTGACTGGCGATCCCTCTTTCCCCTACATCAATTTTTGTTTCGGAAAGTTATATAATGATTTAAACGACTGTTTTAACTTAAGGAAACGTTATAAATTAAACTGAAACCCAGAATATTAACGTCATATAAACGGAAAGGAGTATCGTAATTATGTTTAGCACTGAATTCGGCCTGATTTGTAAAATTACTTCTTCTTTTTTTTCCCCGTCTCAACGTCCTATGTATAAATTAATGAAGAAAAAGTAGGTATCTTTGCGGGAAATCATCAGATCAGATTCAATATACATGACGTGTATGACGAACTTTAGGTTTTGAATTTATCGCATCCAAACTATTATAATCATAAATAAATTAAAAATTTTCATGCACTGAATGGAACCCTAGCACTTAATGCAAGGTACGTGGCAAAGCAAAGAAAAATGTAGACTAGAGTACTAGACATATACATAAAAAATAACCATCCTAAGCCAATTGGAAGGTCTTCAACTTCCTCCTTTTAAAACATGAATTGGTCAATTTTAAACAGACCTAGATATAAATATTAGGCAGACTAATCTCTCTTTAAATACTAGGAGTCAAGAGCAGATCTCTCTCAGCTAAATTAAATTTTTACATTTTATGGGGACCCACGATTTGATTAGACTTGTATAAGTGGGTTAATTAAAAAATAATGATTGATTGATTAGTCTAATCCATATATTCCATGACCTTAAGTTCCACTTCTTCTTGTTCACTCTTGGGGCATAGTCCATTACAATTATCCATTTCATCTTCTCAGCATACAAGCAATGCGTTATAAAAAGAAGCAAACAATATCCCCCGATGAGTGAAATAATAAATTGCATCATATTCATGTTATAACCCAGCTTCATTTTTTCCTTTTGGACCGGTATAACCCAGCTTCATACGTCTTATAATACCCCTTCCATGGCATAATATAATCACTAATTGTGTCTGAACAAAATATAAAAGAAGAGTTAACGAGGGGTTAATATATATTTGGTTCCTCAAGTTTTAAATCATAGGTTTTGGCTCTTCAAGAAGCCAAATAGTCTGAATTTTTATTGAATTATAAAAACCAATATTTTAAATAAAAAGAAATTTGAAGGATTAAAACCTATAATTTAATCAAAATGAAAGCAAATTTAAGCGACCAAAAATTGTATTAAACCTAATTAGGGTCATGTATGCTGTTCATATATAGAAATAACCTTATTATGGCTGGCCGAGTTTGTCTTCATGGATAATCAAACCTTTTTTTTTTTTTTCTGAATTTAAATGCCGGTATCATCACATTAATATTAAAAATTAAACCTCAATTCTGAAGTGACACTTAGAGGTTGGACCCACTTCTAAGATGAGGCATGCTTTGATTTGTGATTTCATATAAATTATTTCTCTGATCTTAAATATAAGACCCCTTTCGTGGTATAATTTACACTATGAAAGGGATTTTATATTTAGAACTAGAGGAGTAGATTAGATGATGTACGCTGTTTAATTTGCACTGATTAAAGAACTATGAGTCCATGTCATTAAATTTAGTAAAAGAATAATCTGACCTAAATTAAAGGGAAAAAATGAGCTGTTGCAAGCCAAATATGTCTAATTGAAAAATTATTTATAAGACTAGACTTCCTACAAAAATTAGCGTGTGTGAATGTAGATATATAAATATATATTTATATATATAGAGGGGCGGGGGGCCGAGAGACGGGTTCCAAGATTGCTCATCAGAGGTTCATTAAGATGTTTGGTTAAATATTGAGATGCACTTAGTTGACCATAAATCAACCTCAGTTTCTTGGAAACTCACCAATATCAATCTCTGCGAATTCACTACTCTCTGGACTTATCCAGCTGACAGATGTAAGTGTATGATGTCTGAAAAATTCAGTTACATTATTCTAACATGATTTGTTATGAATTATATATGCATTTGATATTAATAACCATGGATGTTGATCATAATTAAGCACATACAGTTCTACTTGATATAATCTCAGAAGCATTTTCTGGGATAATCGCGTGAATCAGAACCTTTATGATTCTAAAGAAAATCTATTTCAGAATCATAATCTCAGCTCTTACCTCACAAACACACTACGTACTTCCCTTTAATTTCTTGTTTGATATTTCCTCTCCTGTTACAAAAGCACCCCACAGTTAAACCCTTAATTAATCTCTCCCATGTCTAATTTTCACTGCCAAACTCCTCCATCAGCACCTCCAACACTCATACACATAAAATCTCCAACAGCTGACATAATATTTGCAAAGCAAACAAGTTTTACAAAGAGAAATAACTAAGCTTGTTTCCGTTTGGTTAAAACAAAGCTTAGCTTTCCCTTTTTCCTTTCCTTCCTTAATGTGACCTTCAAAGATGAGACATATGAAAGATCTTCACAAACTCGGTGAAACTTATATAATCAAGTCTAGTTCTTGTACGTATTTTTTTGCCATCAGATTCTTGAATAAATCCATGAAAAGCAATTTTCTTTTCTTTTCTTTTTTTACAGTTTCAAGATTACCTCGCAAGATTTTTATTGAAAACTCTGACAGCTAATTATGTTTAGCAGCTAAGACAAACTTTACCTAATCAGGTATTAAATAAGGATGTGAAGCTAATAATTAGTAGCCGTATCGGTGAACTTGTTCTTGATCCACTTGAAGCTGTTTCTGACGCTGGATTTAAGCTTGCCCTCCACAGTGAAACCATTATAAGCTTTGATCCTCTTCTTCCTCTTGAACTCTGCATCATTGGAAGTGTAAAAGCCATTTCCTTTGTGGCTCGGTCCATTGAAGCTGTAAGAGTTGGATCTCTCTCCGAACCCATTGAACTCTGCGTAAGAGCATGATGACTCAGGAACCGACTTGCTTTTCTCCATTAAAGCTGAGAAGCTTAGCTTCAAAGCCTCTCTCTCTCTTGATCGATCTGTTTTGTCTTTTAGCTCTTGAGGATCGGCCTGCATGAACACACACAAAGTGGTTGAGGGTTTTTAAGAGGAAGGACGAAGGAGAGAGACAGAGAGAAGGGGCATTATGATCCGGTGTGGTGGCACCCCATGTGTGATGTTGGACAGCTGCAATGGGAATCATGACTTGAGGGGGGAGGTGGGGCCTACTTGCCGCACAAAGACACGTCACCGTCTGCTAGTGATGACACAGATTGAATTCACTTGCATGATTTACAAATGTGAACGCTGATGATAACGCGCATGATCCTTCAAGCATATTCTCACCAAATTGAATTTTTTTTTTAATTTGTATAGGACGGAATATATATAAATTGATGTGTTAATGGGGATTGAGTATCAGGGGCTAATTGATCACAGCGCGATCAAACCAGATTTGAATACTCGATAAGAAAAATATTTATATTTAGTATTTGGTAGTATCTCAAACATGATTGTCTCTAATAAGAAAATATCTGGGCTTAGTAAAAAAAAATATCAATTGATGTAAAAAAATGTGAGTATATCAAAAATAAGTGTTTATTACTTTAAGAATATGTAATTCTTTTTACCAATAAATTAGTCCCTTTTTTCCTGGAATTTTTACATGGATCGTGAGAAAATGTTAGGGTTAATTCATTAAAATGTGTACAAAATGAAGAAAATATAACAAATTCACATAGTTGAGGTAGGGACCACGGTATTTGATAATGGTGGGGTCAATTTGGTTGCTTTGTTTAGTGTTTCTGCGATGGGATAAGGCACTATGTTTTGCTTTGTACAAAGTGCCCATTCTTCATTTTCAAACATCAATTCTCTATTTTATTTGTTTGGTGACGGGGGAACTTGCATATATCATGTCCCATTTATCTTTGGATCTTTACCATTAAAATTTGTACATTTACTTTAATATTAGATGGATATATATAATATAAATAAGCAGAAGGCCTCAATAATTAAAAATTAATCATTTCCTCATTTTCTACTCACGTGTCAACTTTTTTAATATTTACATGTGGTTAGGATTTAGATGTAATTAATTTTCTTATTTGAGACACACATATATAATTCTCTACCATAAATAACTAAATTTGCAATAATTTAAAAGGTTGCATGAAGTTCCAAAGACTTGAAAATAATGCAATGCCTCTTTGATTTAATCTTTCCCCCTTGAATTGCACGAACCTGAGGTCTGAGGTAATGTAAGATATATTAGGTGACACTTCGGATGGTTTTGCAAACATTTGAACATATATACATTTGGCATATATAGGTGATCGATGAAATTTCCCCCAAATCTTGACCATATATTTGTAACATATGTAAGCCTCTATTTGAGTATTTCCCTAAAGCTACTCTGTAGGTAATTTAACATTTTAATCTGAAAAATTAGAAATTATTGTTGATACATATGTTTAATTTAGTGAAAGCAAAGGTACCAAGTCATGTGCCACTATATATTTGAAGATGGGTGACAAAATTCATTTATAGTGCTGTGTGGGGCTTCCACATATATATTAATTGCGCACACACACACACACACACACATATATATATATTTCAAAGATCGCCTCCATCTTCATATGCTTTTTCATATGCGTAAATATTGATCACTTAATTTGTGTTTATATGTATTAGCATTAATATAAAATAATAATGGGACAAAGCAAGATGGCTCACCTATATATATTTCCGGACGAATCTCATTATTACACTTAGGAAACTTCCCACCTTGTCATATAATATCATTCTGATTTATACCTTCTTCGTACCTTCACTCAACAACTTAATTGAGTAATGTTATTCCCATTTCTCAAGCATGGCGATAAAAAATGTCACAGTTAAACCATTGATTATCTCAGGGGTAATTAAATTTACTTGTACATTATACTCCTCTCACTTTTAATATATCACCTAATTGGAGAGTTGATATTAGTCCTATATATAATATCTATTTTAAATATTTATTTGTTTTTTTAAATTAACTCTGATTGATATTCCCTAACAATAATTAAGTAGAAGAAGAAAGAAAAAAATTAAAGAAGATGCTTATGATATTTTAAAAAAGAAATATATCATATTAACTAATTTAACTAACATTTATAATCTATTCGAATTAATTAATTATATCTTATACTCCTCTGGTCCTAAATATAATATCCATTTTGTAACTACAAAATAGATCTTGTATCTTATGTTTAGAACCGGAGGAGTATCTTATATTAAAGACTAGAAGAATATTAATTTTCTGTGGCTCTCTTCAGAAATTGTTCTTTTTTGGGGGCTGAAAAAAAATTAGTACCACAATTATGAGTGTGGGTCCAATTTATAGAGAAGGCCAACGAGAGCCCTAATTGAAGTGTGAAACTGTGAACGTATCTTGACGCAGAAAGCAACCGCATGCAACTTTTTTAATCCTCATTTTGCTTTCTCAAAGAGCACCCACTCTCACACATATTTTATCAAAAACTTTTAAATTAAAATAACCTAATTAATCAGTAACTTATCATGAATATATATTAATTAAGTGTTAGTCTTTGATTATTTTTTTATATATTTGTATGGTTAAATAATTATTAACTATTAATTTGCTGTCCCATTTCGTCGTTTGAACAAATTTATCAAAGAGGCAGACATCATGATGCTGCAAATAACAGGAGATGCAGTCCTTCACAACGGAATATGAGAATGTTGGGTTAATAATAATGAATGAATGGGGTTAAAATATGATATGATTAATTGCAATTAAGTGTATTATGATATCATTACTCACTCTATTAAGTCGAGTTTAAACGTTTGTAAAAATGTGTTTAACTTGTAAGTTGCAGGGTAAAGTCCACGATTAATTTCCGTTTGAGGTAGGTAGGCGTGCACATAATGATTTAGCCCAATCCAATATAATCATACCTTTCACTGACACCGCTTTAGCTATTTATTATAGAGGGTAATCATCAACAAAAAGTGCGTCGCGTGAAGAAACATAATTTAACCACACACAAAAAAGCTTACAAATACTCTCTCTATTTTTTTTTTATAAGTAACAACTATTATTCATCTCGAATAGAATTGTCTTTAATAAGAAAATATTTATACTTTAGCAAAAAAAAACAATTATCATTCACCTCTTACCCTTAAATATAAGTAACATTTGCAAATAGTCTTAAATTTTTCTAGCAAATTTCCTATTTTTCCCTGTTTATTACTTGTTTTAATACTCAATATATTAATTATCTTATTTTCCAAACTATCATCTGTTTCCGTCACACATTCTCTCTCTTTTATAATTCTTTTTATTATAATAATTTTCTTATTCTCTTTCTTATGCTCTTTTCCCTCATAAATAAGGATATTTTGGAGAAAAAACTTTCAAATTTTATTCATTTATTGTCCTAACTTTTGATCTACGTAATGGAGTCTAAAGTTGCTTATAAAAAGGGACGAAGGGAGTATAATACTACAATCAATCCTTAATATAATAGCTCATTTAATTTTTATTTTGGTCATAAATATAAGACTCAAATCTACTTTCTTTTTCATATTTATCTTTTTTTTTCAAAGTAGTTCTTGTAATAATAGTAGTTTGAACCAATACATTTGATTAACAAGGATATTTTAGAAATAACTAATTACAAATAACCAATTTAACTATTTTTTTAATCTACTTAAATTAGTCAACTAACTTTTATATTAAGGACCGGAGGTAGTATTATAGAGAGTAAATAATTTGAATATTGAAAGCAAGTTTATTACAAAATATTAAAATTATTCACCGACATTAGAGCTAGCTAGTTTAAGAGGTAAAGAGTGAGGTGGAATATAATATGAATACTAATAAGTTCTTCAAATTTTTGACTTATAAAAAAGACCATATATATCATGCAAAGTTTCCTCATCTTTAAAATTTGGATCATATGCAAACAACAACACTGACCCTTGAAAATTGAAAATTGGCAAACAATAATCCATTGAATTAGACTTCCCAAATTTATGCATATATAACCTCATCTCGTGTTTGTTATTTTACCATCACAGCGTAATATATCATTCACTATATACCTCCTTAAATTTTGAGTTATATGGGTGTGTATATAATCTTCTAAATTTTGAATTATGCGCAATGAAATGTACGATTATATTCTTTTAGTGAAATAATACCCAAATTATAATATGAGAATTATTTGCATTTTCCCTTCCGATAGAGAGTTATTTGCATTAGTGTAGAAGTTAAAGGGGCCTTCGTCATAAAATTTTAAATATTAATGAAGCTATTTATTTATAAGGCCAAAACATACTCCTCAAATTAGCAGTATAAAATTCACAGCTTGCCGCAATTATGATTATTTTTGGGCCTCAAAGATTTGTATGAATTCAGATGTCTCGTTTTCATAACAGATAACCCCTTTAAAGCAGACAGACTCCCGTTATTTGATGGGCCGTGGGGGCCCAATAAATCTAGACCCAGAAGAAGCGGCCCAAAAGGGATCAATGTTGAAATCGAAAAATAGATACACGCCCAGTGGGACTCGAACCCACAATCGCTTGATTAGAAGTCAAGCGCCTTATCCATTAGGCCATGGGCGCCTTTGTTGATTGCAGCTCTTAAGATATATATTTTATTTACATAAAAGCATGTCCTTGTGAAGATTTGTAGAACAAATCAAGTAGGATCATTTTTAGTCTCAATTTTTCTGCATAAAGGAATGCCTATTTATTTATACTTCTAATTATAATTTTGATGGAAGCATAAAGGAAGAAGAACAAGTGGCTTAAATTTTATACTATTATAATCTTGACGCGTGTCATGGAGAAGTGTTTGTTCATTCAACTCTTATCCGACCTTTTCATAAAGTTCTTTCTTAGCCACCTCCATTTTTTATAGCCGCCCCCTTTTTATTTATTTCAAGGATCTGTTTGTTGTTCAACTTTGAATTTTAATAATACGCAAATGTAAATAAATTATTTGGTAATGTAAAAAATATGTGGTTATTTAAAAAAAATAGTGAATAACAGAAGTTACCCAAGAGTAGTTCTCAAGGTCTAGGTCAATTAATTTTTTTAAAATACATATTAAATATTGCAATTGGCTCTAAGATATAATCAAATTCTATATTTCATGAATTATAATATAATTTATTTCCCAAATGCTTTAATTTGTAGCCAAGAGGCCATGGCGGGCGTTGTAGAGCACGTGTGAGAGAGAGAGAGAGAGAAGTTTCATGGGAATGTGCTCACCACAAGACATTTTTAAACACGTGATTATATCAAATTCAATATTCTTTCACTGATTTAATTTTTTTCTTTAAATATATGTCACTCTTTTTTCCACCAACTAAACACGCATTATATTCAAATTTTAAGATATAATTATTATTTATTTTTATGTAAAATTATTTATTTATTTATTAATAATATTCTTGTTAGATGGATCATGAAAAACATTAAAAAGAGGTAATAATATTTTTGGGTGGAGATATTTATAGAGGCATGTCCAAGGGAGGGAGTCCTTGTTTGTGGGCCGTGGATCTTTGACGGGAACGTTATTAAAAAAAAAGTAGGTGAGACTTTTAAAGTCGCCTTACTTTACTAGTCTTGTGTCCGCCACATGGCCACGTGGCTCCACATTTTGGCGCCCAGAAGCGGATTACTATTTTAATTAAATGTTCAATTAGCCAATCCCTCCAATTATTCCCCCGCCCCCCCAATCCATATTTATTAATCAACAAATAGTGGTGCTTTTTTGGGGATAACAACAAAGATCTTACGAAGATCACTGAGATATTCATCATGCCCGCACTACGCTGATTTAAGCATATATTATGATAATTGGAAATTCAAAAGCTGTATATGCTATATATTCCAGTGATACTATTTATAAATTACTTCTTTGTATGTTTTATATGAGCTAAAAAAATTTTAAATTTTATTTACACTTATCTAAAATTTAACAATTTTTTTAAACTTTATCCTTATTAAATATACATTATATCTCATATAAATAAAATTAACATAATAATAAATAAAAAGTAAAATTGTACATGTATATAAATTTTTTTTATCTCAGTACCCTATTTATCAAAAAATATTTTTTTCTATCTGCCTTATAAATAGGATCAGAATAGTAGTTATGTTAGGGATATTGTTATGCTTATTAATTGTAATAAAGTAATAATATATGTTGGCAAAAATAAATAAACTGCATGTATGCCCGTTCCCTTTTATTCTAATATTAATATTATCCTGCGTATATACCAAAACAGGAAAAGCTTTAACAGTATATATAATTGTTTTTTTCTCTTATAAATAAGATACAAAGTGTTATTAGAAAACTTGATATAATAAATATAAAAATTTTGATTTTTGAAACAAAATTGACCTTTAATTTATTTAACCCTCAAATAAATTTGTAGCACGTGTGTAGACATATTAAGATATAATAACCAGAAGTTAAAACTATTAGTTCTGGACGAGGAGTGGTTGACAGGCATTAAAGTAGACAGAGACAAATTAAAGTATGTAATCCAGTTTGTAATTACAGGGAGGCTACCTCTAAGTGAAAGGGAAGGGATTGGTGGGACAATGGCCCAGGCCACTGGTTTCCGCCTATAAAAGACTCTGTTACCAGAGACCCCAGTGCTCACACTGAATTGAAGAGAGTAAAACATACATGGCGGTCTCATCGTCCCTCCTTTACTCTTTGCTCTTCATCTCCTGCCTCGTCCTCTCTGCCACTAAGGCAGAGTCTCAGGCCAAGCCTCCCATCGTGAACGGCCTCTCATGGACCTTCTACGAGTCCAGCTGCCCCGGCATCGAATCCATGGTCACGAAACATCTCAAATCCGTCTTCAAGAAGGACATCGGCCAAGCCCCTGCCTTGCTTCGCATCTTCTTCCACGACTGCTTCGTCCAGGTACACTCTCTCTCTCTCTCTCTCTCTCTATTATCCCGCAAAAGTAGTGGCACCTTTCTGTGAATCGTCATTTTCTTTCGTTTCGATCCGAGTCACTTCAATTCCTGTGTGTTGATGTGATTGTTAATATGCATACAGGGGTGTGATGGGTCCATCTTGTTGGACGCGATTGCACCAAGCAACCAGAGTGAGAGAGACTCCAGATCCAACGGTGGCATCAGAACAGAGGCCTTGAAGACCATCGACGATATTAGAGAGCTCGTCCACAAGAAATGTGGAAGAGTTGTCTCCTGTGCTGACATCGTCGCTCTCGCGGGCCGTGATGCTGTTGTCTTGGTAATTAATCTCATCTCTCTTATCAAAGTTATTTGTTTCTCTCATCTTGATATCGTCTTCCGAGCTTATGTTTTCTCTTTCTGCAACAATAATGGCAGACAGGAGGGCCCAGCTTCCCAGTTCCACTAGGAAGACGGGACAGCCTCACCTTGAACTTCGACGAGACAAGCAACCTCCCATCTCCCTTCGCCAACACCACCGGCACCATCAAGACCTTCGACGACCAGAACTTCGACGTAACCGACGTGGTCGCCCTCTCCGGCGCCCACACCTTCGGGCGATCCCACTGCAACTCCTTCTCCGACCGCGTCTCCGGCACGAGCCCGGCTCCCATCGACCAGACCCTCCTGAAGAACCTCAAGGCCACTTGTCCCAGCGCCAGCTCACCCAACACGGCAAACCTCGACATCCGAACTCCCAACAAGTTCGACAACAAGTACTACATCGACCTGATGAACCGACAGGGAGTGTTCACGTCAGATCAGGACCTGTTTTCCGACGGTCGTACCAAGAAGTTGGTACAGAGCTTTGCGCTGGACGAGAAGCTGTTCTTCGAGAAGTTCACGAACGCTATGATAAAGATGAGCCAGCTTAGGGTTTTGACGGGGAAGCAGGGAGAGATCAGAGCCAAGTGTAATCTCAGGAACAGTGGGAAGAAGTCTATGTTGGCTTCTGTGGTGGAAAAGGCGGTTGAAATGGCGGAACAGTTCTAGATAATAATGGAGGCCACGGATACATGATGATGCACGTTTCAAGTCTTCTGTAAGTTTTACTTTAGATATCATCCCAAGTGCGAGATGTGAGACACTTTTGGGTGTTTGATCGTTTAATTTGGATAATAATTTGTGCAAGGTTACGTTTTGGAGGGTTCTAACTCTGGTACTGAGATATATATATATATATATATATATCTATGCTTCTTGTCGTTGTATGTGTGCAGTGTTGTGGTAATAACTAATAATTAATTAAGTTCATTTTGTGAATTTGAGCCTTGCAAAGTACAGAGCACATCTTGATCTTTGAAAATGAACAATTATTACTACAAGCATCTTTGAAAAAATGGTGCTAAAGCACTGACAAGTACTAGTTGGATTACTCCACTTGGCACAGAACGCATAACTTGGGGATCTCTAGACGTTGAAAAGTCATGTGTGCTAAATCCTCTCTCCTTCACACAGTGGACTTTCTTTCTTTGTTTTTTTTAAAACAAAATACTCCAATCTTATTTTTTTTAATAGAAATGAGCCAATTAATTTTATTATATGAATATATAATATTGCTTCTAATTTATTGTTCTGTAGAGTCTAAATTACTATTTTCTCAAAAAATTTATATATTAAACAAAAGTAAAGTGAAGACAACTAATATAGTCTAAGGTGTTGAAAATACCTTATATTATAACCGCATTGCGCGCATACTACAACGTATAGAATTTAGACAACACACACACTCGCCACATCGCATAGTTTATAACAAGTTTTGTTATTTCTAAGCTGCTAACTAAACTACAGAAGTCATTTTTTGAACTTCGTGTGATAACATGTGGGGAAATTACAATAAGATCTCACTTGAGAGAATTAAATAAAAAAAGTCTCTTAAAATCATTAAATTAATTTGAAGTCTCAAAAGATTTCATTGCAAGAAAGTTTATTTGTTTAATTATCCAATTGTCTTTGTCTTTTTTTACGGTATGCATTGACAAAGAAAGTAATTAAAAACTTAAAGGTGTAACAATTAACAACTATTATAACAGATATTTTGACAATTGATGTTATATTTTTGTGATGTGTTGAGAAAATATGTTGTCAATACTTACCGTAATAGTTGTTAATCGATACAACTTAATTTGTTAATAACTACTCTTTTAGTTATCAATGCATACTTAAAAAAATAAGGATAATTTGATAATTAAATAAATAAAATCTTTTACAACGAGATCTTTTGCCAAGGATAATTTAATAACTTTAAGAGATTTTTTGGTATTTAATTTTCTTAAGTAAAATCTTATTGCAATTTTCCTTATAATGTATGATAATGTGTTTCCGTTACTATTAAATTTGGTTAATTTTTCATTTATAGTTTTGATCATCTCTTAATTTTAATTTGGACTATTCTTTTCCAGGCCTGAGTCGTTGAGCCTTCACAATGCTTAGTATCAAATATGATTATACAAGATCTCTATTTTTTCCGAACATTTTAACACATCATATTTTTTATATAGATTTTGGGTCGAAGCTTTAGGAAATGCCAAGTAAAAAAAAGAAGATAAAATCAATTTGTAATACAAAGCTAAATTTCACAGTAGTTCTGAAAAGGCTAAGCCAAAACAAAATTAAAATCTTTGCTCATAAGTGCGGGGCCACCGCTGGGATGGGAATATGAAAATGGATAAAGGAAAGAGTTGTGTCCTGTTGATAAGGTTCAGTGGTGTCCTGTCGTGTCACCATGATTCTCGTCGTTTTCCAATAAAGGCCTCGCCCAACTTGGATTTTTCTAAGTTTTTTAGAAAAACTTTCCATTTTCAAATCATGCCAGCCACATCGCCCCAAAACTAAATTCAATATCATACTGTGTTCATACTATAGTTTTAGTAAATTATATTACAGAAAAAGTGTTGTGAACAGCGGAGTTGGTTCCCCATATATATATAAATATATATTAAAGGGAGAGTCAGATCCTAAAAAAATTAATTATAAAAAAATCTCAATAATAAATAACCAACTTAAACCTATTTTTATTTTCTACTTTAAAATTTATTATTGTTTATTCTTTACTTGTTTATAGATTTTAAAGTGATTAAATTCCTTTCTTATTAGGCTTGGTTATAATTCTCCCCATATTAAAATTCATCAATTTAAATGCATATATGGGTCATATTTGCAGGGGGAAAGTAGAGGGTGAGGTGCATGCATACTGAATTAATGAAGCAGGCATGATTTGAATAACTCCATTTATGATTTGCAGCATTTAAGAATAGGTGGGCGCCATGCCTACGTGTCCCCTCATTCTGATTTTTCTTCTAACCTGACCCTTCAATCAAGTGAAAGTGACTTACACAAAACCCACACACACACACACACAGACACATATGGATCTTCTGAATACGTTTACATTCAAATTATTAAATGGATTAGAAAATAATCTGGAAAAAGCTGGGACAAAGATGTAATGGTAGATGACATGGCTATGGATTTCAACTCAATGAACTATTCAAGTTTCAAAGGAAACTTAATATTCAAGATGAGAATGTGTGTGTGTGAAATCATGGAATCTTTGGAAGTAGTTTTCAGTTCAAACCAGGAAAAGATCAAGTTTATATTGCAAGTGGCAATAATAGACAATCGAACATATCGTTCACAGGTCACCAGAAGTTGACAATTATTTACGGCCAATATAAACTACTCGTGATGAACTTTCCTGTTACGTCTTCTTTCTTTCCAGAACTCAAATTTCTCAATATATATAATCAATTATCTTGGACCTGTGTATCATATAGAGCCTTTAGAACTTGATATAGAATCTATACGCACACACAATATACACTAGAGCAGGAGATTATAACGGCTATAGTTTATTAATGTCTATCATGATTAATAGCAAAGATTAATGTCTATCATGATTAATAGCAAAAGCCTAGTATATACATGTTAAAACAGTGATTTACTTGTACTCTTCCGGTCCTAAATATAAGACCTTTTTTGTAGTGTAAATTGCACTACAAAATGAGTCTTATATTTAGAATCGAAGGAATATTATTATTCATCATTAATTTAATGAAGCTCAGAGTGTTTTATGATTCCTAAAATAGTTGAAGAGGAGTGCATTTTTTCTCATACCACGCACTCTGATTTTTCCCAATTAATTTTTTAAGTTACTATTAACAACTCATGATATATTATTGAATCGTACGTTATACATTCATGAATATATATATATAGACACATAATTGATTTGTCGTTTAACTATATATGTATATGTAAAAACTGGAGTTTGAATGTAGGACCTGACCGTGAGGATGAGACCATAATAAGGGCCTGTCCCAGGCAAAAGTCTTGTCGGCCACCAAGTTTGATTTTTAACAGTTTGGCCCTGTGGATCTCCTTCAGCGATACTTCCAAATGTTTCCATATTCAGATGCATCCCCCGGTTAAGCCCAATTTCATTCCCACTTGTTGGTTTCAACTTTTTTAAAAATATGATTCAAATTGAAAAATTAATTTAGTGAATAATAATACTCCTCCATTCTTAAATATGAAAATAATTTTTTAGCATAATTTACAATGCAAAATAAGTTCTATTTTTGAAATTATGTTGTTGCGTATTGATTTCAAATTTGTACTCAGTATTTCGTTTTTAGAAACATATTAGCTGACAACGGATTCAAATGCGTCTGAGGGGACATAATTCCCCCTTTTTTTCAAGCATGACTCTATGAGATGAGATCTACGTGAGAGAAGGGCCATGTCGATGGACATAATCTCAAAGCAAGCGCCTCCACCGAATCATGTGGGGATTGCACGTGAGAAAATTCTTTGAATTGGTCTGTTGTGTTATGAATGTAACATACAAAATGGCCAGAAGGAATTTCCTCCGAGTACCTCCACCCAATTTGGAAAATCATAACCTACGAATTATGAATGAATGAGATGGAATACAAGAATATCAATTCGTCAAGAGCTTGTTATTTTCGTTTTCATTATCAACTTGAGGAGATGGTTTTGGAAGGCCACGAGGCTTGGGAGGTGTGCAGGCAAAATTCTTGACAATGGAGGAGTAAACGTCAAACTCCGCCTTCAATTTCAAACAGCAAGCTTCAATCCACTTCTCTGCTACACTCGTGGATACGCTGTCTTGGCTGTCCCTCTCATGTTCTTCAATGGCTGGTCGTATTTCATTGTATAAGTTATCAAGAGCACAGGTTGCCTCATTCTTCATTTCCTGCAAATATGTCCGAAAATTCAGATAACAGCTCAACATAAAGCTAAGGACTTGCTTGGGACTGAGGTAGGGGGCACTAGTTGCTTGGATTGGGATGTTCTAGATGGATTCCTTTTCGTCTAGTTTCTCATTTGCTCTTTCTTTCACCCTCTCCAATTTTCTTTTCTTAGGTATCACAAGCCAGACGGTACATAAAAAAGCTGCAAGGAAAGTAATACCTCATATCTTAAAATCTCCTCTTGTGCTTCTTTTGATGCTAAAGATTCAGCAGCAGACTTCACATCGACTTGCTTCTGTGTGATGTTTTTAATGCTTCCGTTATATTTCTTTGATTTTTTGGCAGGTATGGACCTAGGTCCAATGCGATAGTTTCGGGCTGCAGTATTACTTCTGATTCGTGATATCATTGCATTGTTCTGTGGAAAGGCCTGCTGAGTATCTCTAGGGTACAATTTCATATCGTTACTTTCTACCTCAGACTTTATCGGATGGACATGTAAACCCTTCGTTGGAACCGATCCAAGCGGCTGAATGCCAAAAGCAGTTGACTCTGATAATTGTTCAGGTTTTATGACAACATCCGTTGAGTGTTCAATTTTCCCATTAACTTGCATACCAGGAATGTCAGGGTGCAAGTTTCTAAGGACCTTTGAGAGAGGCTCATCCTCTGCAGAGTCATAAACTGGAATTTTCTCAACGCTGTACCTGTAAACAAACTACAGATCGATGAACTATATCACAAGTGCAGATTGACAGACCTCGCTAACAATTATCTATTTAATATTCATACAGCCATTAATAACTGAATGACAATAAACAACAATTATGTACTTAATACTCACAATTAGACCTTACTAACAATTATGTGCTTAATACTCACAGCCACTAATACTTTAAATGAAGAATGCTAAAAGAAATTAAAACATTAAAACCAGGAGAGGGCATAAGATAAATAACACATTACCTTTCATCATCATCTTCCCATAAATATGTATCTTCCTGCTCAGAATTTCCACAAAAATCAAAGATCATAAGCAAAGACCACAATTAAAAAAAAAAAAATTTGAGAGAAGTAACACAAAAGGGAGGGGGGGATTAGACACAAATAACCATAACAATGACACCGAAGTAGGTTCAGTAAACCATTGACATATAAAGTTACTCTTTGCAGCTAGTGCAATGATTTTCCCAGTTAAAGTATCATTTCAGTACAGATTCTTCCAGATGAAAACAATTTAACATCAAAACAAAGGCATGCAAAGGGGAACACTCAAGGGGAAGGGAAGGCACAAAAAAGAGGGGAACAAATATTAGTTCGCAGCTACTATTGAAGAGTGAAGAAGATCGATACAAAAAATATCGAGAGGTTGATCTCCCAAAACCAAAATATAAAAATTACCCATTCATTAGCTCAAAAGGGCTTTCCAATATGACATGCTTGACTCTTAAATGAGACCAAAAAGGATTCACAACATCATCCAAGAAGTAAAATTCATAACTTAATAGGCCCGTAGTTATCAATTTCAGCTAAAAAAACTGTAGGATCACAGAATCAATAAGGTCATAGAAGCAAAAAACATCAACATTTGATGCTTGAATGTTGCAGTGTTATTAATAGATTCACAAAACTTGCCTGAAAACCACGAGATTTTGCTCCAAGGAATCCGGAACATTTGGCTGCACCACAGAGGCAACGAACCTTTGCACCACCAAACCACTCAAAATTATAATCATATGCCAGTTCAGCTCCAACAGGTATATCTTGTGTTGCAAATATTCCAACTCTTATCTCACCCAAGACATTCCATTTCCTTGTCTCACAATTTGGCTGACTGCAAACTTAACAGGTTTAAGTTGTCTCAAATCTTGGGTCAGGGAAAATATGGACTACAACAAAAAGCCAACAATATATGCATGGTAAAGGTTTTGCTTTCAAATTAGCTTTTATTTGAAAAGATTTACCATGAATGATTTATAAATCTACCAAGGCTTCCCTTTCTAGTTGCATCAATGGATTCAGAAGCGTTAAGACAAATAATGAATGCATCCTTAAGACCTGCAAACTAAAGAGAACTTTTAGAAAACAGGGAGATCAGTTATCAAATGGAACATCTAACAAGTTAATATTTGACCTTGAATTTCATAAGCCTGGGCTCTTCGCTTGGCTTCTTTCCATGAAATTACTTCTCCACAATATTCGATGATAAATTGGCCTGCCTGTAAAGAGATTAAAGCTTAGAATTATAAGAATACCTAATAAGGCATAACCAAGTCAGAAAATGCCACAGTAGCCATGAATTCAAGCAACAAAGTTTCATTTTCTAATTGAAAGGTTTTGCTGAAACTCATAACATGATTACCTTAATATTCTCATCAGCCAAAAGACCCCATCCCCGGCCTTCAGTTTTGAACAACTTTGTTTTTGCATATTCACACTTCTGAAATCTCTATAACCATAAGACATGGTTTAAAAGAAATACGAAGTTGCAGTTAGTTTCATTCCATATAAAGATATAATGCAGCATGACACAGGTTCAGCAAATGATAAAACCCAACACTTAATGGTAATTATTCCTTAATGAGAAATTCAAATTCAAATAAATATTTAGGACTAGCAGATAGATGTGCAACATGTCATAATAAACACATTAAGACATACAGTCTAGCACATAGTAATCAAAAGTTTCTTCTAACAATTAAATACAAGCAGGATTTTTGCAATAATACACTTTCTTTAGCTTGTTCAGCATGGTAAAAAAGGACTATATTCTACTCAGTACTTCGAAATTGAAACTATGACAATACTAAGGAAGATATAACCCAAAAACATTTAACATCAAAACAGACAAGCCTAAACATGCACCTGATTTTTGCAAAAGACACCACACGGGCAATAGCCGGGGGTGCATTCAGAGCTGGTCAGTACATTAAGACAGCCATCCCCACATGCACTATCAGGGTCGCTAGGATTATATTTGCATTCACATATAGCAATATCCTCCTCCCTCTGCTTCACATGCCTATAAAACAAGAAAAGAGAATTAAAAGAATGAGCACAACAAGTAAAAGAATAGTGCACCTCGTAAGGCTTCGTAAATCATTAAGATCATCTACGTTTCATTTCACTGAGTTGTTTGGATTGAACTTCCATTCAGGTTGGTTTTTCATCGGCAGCACCTCCTTGCTCCTGAAGCTTATTGCCAGAGATAAGTCAAAGGTGGCTCTTCTTAAGTTGCAAGTAAGCCATTTATTTCAAAGTTAGTTGCTGAAAACATCCTTTATGATTTAGGAATTTATTATTGCCGAGGAGTCTTTTGGTTATCATTTATCTTATCTTTGGCTCTTGGAGAATTATCATGTATGATTTAGGATACATATAAAAAGGAGAGGGCAGCCATTTTGTGAGTGAGTATGCACAAACTACCAGTGTGCAGACCATCCCATTCATCATATTTCACTGTTTCAACCGTAAATCTCAACGAACTCAATGAAGGAAAACATATAGGCAGCCAGTAGGAAAGGTTTGAACTTCAGAAAACTCTGAGGAACTAATAAAAATAACCTCCTTCAGGCGTTCTAATTCTGAAGATAAAGAAATAGCCTTCTAAACATCCACAGAAAACAGTATCTGTTATATTATCAGGGTCTCCTTCAGTGTCATCAAGGGCTCGTGTTATATTACCAGAAATTTATCATTATCAAAGAAGGCACCAGAAGAGAAACATGAAACCAACATCCATATTGAATGCTGGGTAAAATACACAGAGTATTCTCAGCACTGTAAATGGTGGATGCTATTGACTACAATGGTCCACTTCAGTGTTATTTACCCTTTTACCCATCAACCGTGTTATACTAATATTATATATGTATATATGTACACACACACACACAAAAGAGAAAAACTGACCTTCTGTTTAAAAATTCATTCTGCGTTATATGGATGTATTGAGGAAATTCTTCAGCATGAGGATCCTTCAAAATCAATAGCTTCCATGTCACTTGACTCATATAAAATAACATGTGCAGTAATTGGAATAAGCCTGAAAATAGAGAAAGAAAATGGCGGGAAAACCAAGAAATAGCTACCATTTCGGTATCCAAGGATTGATTTTGAACGACTGTTTAGATGGCTGTCATAGGTATTTTGCAATCCCCCTGCCAAAAATAGGAAAGTTCATACAAGGCACCGAAAAGGAGTGTTCAAATCGGTTATCGTAGACAACTCATGCAAAGAACGGAAGAATTAAATAATTAATCCCCACTGGTCAACCCAAAAAGAAAGCGCTGGTTGCAAGTGGGAATAATGGATCAGAATTACTCAGTGCTCGTCAAAAAAATCATTTCTCCAGAAAAACAAAATTTTGTGAAGCTTCAAGAATCTCCATTTCTCCTATTGATTGTAAGAGGATGAAAAGATTCTCTTTTGTTTTATGTTCATATGGAAAGCTGGGGAGAATTCCTTGAGATTAGGTTTTATCATAAACATAGATGTTACGGGTTGTGCAAATTCACCCTCAGTATCGACATTTGACAGTCAAAACGAAGCGAAGATCAAGAAACTGAGAACCATTTGATCAGTGTTGTTTAACCTGGCAATGAGACATGATGCACAAAGAAACCAGAGATGACAGACCTGGAATGCCACCAATTACCGGTTCCCTCCGGCAGCGGCGAGGGCTTCAGGGCTCAGTTCAGGCCAGGTGGAAGTTAGGTTGAAAGTGGTTAGAACCCCGTCAGAGTTGGGTAGCGAAGCTGAAGACAACCATGGTGGAACTGGAAAAGAGGTTTTTCGCCTCGGACTAGCGCTGGAGCAGAAGGCGGAGACCCGTCGTTAATGCTGAAGAGGCAGGCGGGGATGAAATGGGTTGCAGTCGTCCTCAGCCCAGTTCACAAAATCGAACCAAGGAGGCGTGTGCGCACGCTGGGTGATCCATTTCCATCGGAACAAGCAGGCCAACTATAATACAAGACTCCTCGATCCTGGTTCCTCGGTTGGGGGGGGGGGGGTTGTGATTTTGATGTTAAACGCCAAACCTCATTTTATTTTATTATGTACTTTTAGGGGATAGTAAATTCATTAGTTTGGATTAAATAATTTATTTATTTTTTTCAATCTATCCATAATAGTTAGATATCCTCCAATTAGCAAGATAACTAATTTATAATGATTAAAAAATTAGTTTAAATTAGTTTTTTAAGAAAATATATATTATTTTCTTAAAATACTCTTTTTAATCATTTGTATAGAAAAATCATATTAATATATGTAGTTAATAGAGTTTCAAGGAAACATAATTTAGGGAAATAAAGTGAATGAGATTCTACACATAAAACAAGAAAAGAGTTACAATCAAGTCCTAATAAAGAGAAATAATTACTAAAATATTCTAATAACAATTTAAGTAATCTGTAAAGACAAGTTTTAAAATAAAAAATAATAACTTTTGAAACTTATTTTATAATTATTCTCTTTCTTTGGGACTTCATTGTAATTCTTTCGAAAACAAATCTTTTTAAGAGATATCAAAGATAATAGTACACAATATAAGGAAAAAAGTTAATATGCATTACTTATTTGATTCTTTTTATATTTTAGCTAGAAATTTTTTCATAACAGATTAAAATATTTGATTAAATTTTAAATTTCAGTAAATTATATTACTTAACGTAGTTTAAGATTCACTTCTTATAAAAATGTGTTTTTTTAATTCATTCTGCCTAGGTAAGAGATCTTGGAAGATACTTTATTTCTTTTTTTTTTCTAAAAACATTAGTTTATGGATCTGACATAACATCAAGAAAACGATCGACTTTATTCAAGGTCAAAAGAGGAAGAAGTGAGTTATAAGTGAAATAAAAGTAGAAAGATTGAGTTGCATCGAGTTCAAATTATAGTTAAAAGACATAATTAGATTAATAGTTGAAGGATCAAAACATTAATTTATAAAAATGGTTTTAAAATTCCATCCCAATGTTCTAATACTTAGTCCAAATAAATATCCTATACAATCCAAAGGCAGTCCGGAAAAGGCATTACACTGCGTAAAAATTATGTATGATTTTTTTTTTTGACCGATGAAAATTATGTATGATTATTATCATTTCCACGTAATCGCAAATCTCGGTTTAATTTTGGAGGCCTAAGGTGAAACCTTCAACCAGGAACGTGGTACGTACTTGTTCCTTTTTCTCCAAGCCTGTCATACTGCTATTAATTTCATATCGAGACAATGCCAAGGGCAAACATCCACCAGAGATCATCCTTTCAAATTTCACCTTTCCTCTCTCCTCAAAAGAGCGTCTTTGGTTCGGGGCTGTGTTGGTACTTCCTCAACTTTAAGAACTTTTTTTCTTTTTTTAAATTTTTAGATTAGTGTACAAACCTGTTTTGATAATTTGGGTATTCAGGAGATTTTTTGAGTGGAAATTTATATTAAAAATTTAAAATCATAATAATTTTATTTTTTATAGTTAAAAAACTAAAGCTGGACGTTATGGAGTGAAATTATTATGATTTTAAATTTTCAAAAATGAATTTGTATTAAAAAAAAGTTGGATATCCAGGAGTTTCGAGAAAAAAATTTTGAAACAAATTTGCACCTTAATCTTTTGTTTTTTTACTAACCAGAAATCCTCTCTGTCATAAAGTCCAAAAGTCACTAAAAATAAGTGAAAGAAAACTTTTTTTTTAATTAAAAGGATTAGTAATAATAATAAAAATTAGTAAACGAAATTGAATTGCCAATGAGAGGTGTTTATATTATATGCCACGGGGTGATATTGGCAAAAATAAACTCTCTTATGGAAACACTTTTAGCTAGTCTTGGCAGGCACTAGTATAGTAATACTCTTTTGATTCTTAATATAAAATTTATTTAACTAATTTGATTAGATTAAAAAAGTTAAGTAAACTAGTTAATTATAAGTAATATGACATATTTTTCCTAAAACACCATAATGATTTTTTTTAATACCCCTTTCCCCCTTCTACTTATTAGTTGATTATAGTTGAAGGAGTATCCATAAAGGTAATTTAGAAAAAATTGATAAATATAAAAAATGAATTTTATATTTAGAACCGAAACTAACTTAATAATTAGGTCCTATATTAAAGATAAAAAGAGTATTATTATTACGCGGAAAAAGAGAAACCAACATTTTAAAATCCAGAGGGTGACGTTAAGCTCAAACCGAAGGCCAGAGAATCCAGGCTGGCATTTCGCTTTTGGCCTTTCTGGTCCGCCTTTTTATTATTTTCCCTCCCTTTTATTTATTTATTTATTTTTGGGTTTTTCAGCTCCGCCACTATTAAGATGGAGCACTATTATTATTGGATTCCCCTCTTTTGAATAAGAGGAAAGGAAAACACATAATAACAATTTCATTGAAGAAACTCGAGCCTGGTGATAGAGAACGCACTATCTCCATCAGAACCGTTAGGATCGTGCCACTTAAGAGTTGACCCCACCGAGATGCCGACGTGGAAGGAGAGATTTCGAGCACAAATGGAATGGCAAAAAGGTAATTTTGCCGTCATGAATTTTTTTTGCAGGAGGATTCACTTGAGGATGGATTGGGGGGTGACAGTGACGTGAGATGGAAGGGTTCTTCTTCTTCGTCTTCTGCAATAGTATTCGTTGGCGCTATATATCGGCGCAGGGGAGATTTCCTCCTGAATATTCTTTAGCAAATAAAAAGCATGCTCGCAAATTCCAAACTCAAAATCAAAAACCACCATCGTTGAGATCACACCTTTCTCTCTCTTCCTTCTGAGGTTTTCCCCTCACGTTTCTCCCAAGCCCCTTCATTTGGTTTTTCTTCTCTCATCGTAGCGTTCGGATTTCGCCCTTCAATCGCTTCAGCGAGGATAGTCCCTCACCAGTTGGACTCTGATTCTCTTGGGGTTCTATTGAGGGGCTGTTTTCTGAATGCGCGAATGCCAGATGAGATAAACACTCGTTGCATGTATCGGGTCTTTGGCTCTTTCCCTGCATAGTGTGAATATTGCGTAAGATTCTTCATGGCAAAGCGTGTTTACCAAGTCTGGAAAGGGAGTAATGTAATGTTTAATTCACCTGCTTCTTCCTCTTTTTTGCAAATTAGACTTTTGATGCTTTACTTGCCTCTTGGGGATGCTCTTTATTTGTTGATGGGCAACCTTGTGGTTCCTTATAGATTGGGTGTTTTGGAATGATTCTAAGAGCTTAAGTGTGGTTTGAGTTTATGGTCCTTTTGGTTGCTTAAAAATGGAAGACGGAAAGTTTTAACTCGGACGATGATTTCGGCATCATACACTGGATATGTTGAGCTACTGTGAGGTCATGCGTTTTGTGAGTTTTACTACTTTGAATTAGCAGTTCCCTTCCTCTGCCCATCCATTGTGTTTGTTTTTGTGCGGCGGGTTTTGGGGCTCTATGTTCTGCCTTACTTCCTGTCAGACGAAACTTTAATGATGCTTTGGCTAGAGGAGTTGGTTGGACATAGCATTTAATGAGGCCATTGGATTTAGTATTGACCTTGGTTTCTGTCAGTTTTCTACTTATTTACGTTGTTTCACCTTTTTGCTGAGAAAAGGTACTGGAGATTCAGAAGCAGTACTTAATTAGATGCAATTGTTAGCCTCACCTTGGCAGGCTGCCTTGTATTTTGGACAAATAAGTATTTAAGATATTGAACTTGACTAATCTGGTGTTTTTTTCCTTCCATTTACCTGACATAGTTACTGAGTTTTTTCTTTTAAAAACATATTTGAGTTTATCAGAAAGGTAATGAAACTGAACAAGGTAACGTTGCAGAGGGTTTGAGTAATTGTCATGCTTTATCTGCTCTAGATGATGTTTTGTTTCTTAAAGAAGAAATCCTTATCTGGTAGTTTGGAATATAATCACAGCCAGCATCTTTTCATGTTTATCTTGAAACTACTTTATACACTTTTAGGTGTTTAGGCTGCAAATAAGTGTATGTTTAGGTTATGGTCCTCATGTAAATATTTTATAAATTTCACGCGGATGTTCTGCTAACATATTTGGAGTTTGGACAACTAGAAAAATGGCTTTTCTCTTGTGGATTTAAAAAGTGAAGAGACAGAGGAATCATGTGATGGATATGCTATCTAACTCTTTGTTTAGAATACAATTATGGCAAATAATTTTGTGCTCCCTTGGTCAAACCACCCTTTCGAGTTCTGACAGATTAACTATATAGTTTACAAATAGATTGATGAGTGATTGAGATATGATGTTTTTCCCCCTAACCTTTTGTTATTGGTTGGAATAGTTTAACTTAACATGGGAGTAGGATCAAGGGCCATGGAGGTGTTCATGCTATGATATGTAACTTTACTCTCGAGGCTTGTGGTGGAATGGGGTATTTAAGTTTGACCAATATATTGTCTTCAAATGACAAATATAATTTATTTTTTAGCTTTTGGGAGACTTTCTCTGTAACTTCTGATACTTCCTCTTCAAATGATGTTAGCATATTTTGATAATTTATTGCACGTTCAGGAGCTAGTAGTTTATTATCCATGGATTTTTATAGGATGTGAACATGATCTCTTCTGTATTGCCTTTAGTATTTTCATGCCTTCTTTTGTCTCTTGCTAATTAACGTGCTCTGTCTAAGTGTTAACTCTTCTCCTAATCATATGCAGAAGTTCATTTG